ATTTGGGTTGTTTGGTTTCGGGTTGTCAATGACTTAGAGCATCTCTAATGGAGTATGTAAGGGAAGTAGGCAAAATTGTACTATAACAACCTAGGTGGCATATTGCCTACCCATTTGCCTCATGAAAAAAGTTGGTCCCTCCAAAGGATTAGATAATGTAATTGTACAAACCATTATCATATTGTATATTTTTATCTTTTATATTTACTTTTGCATTTCACAAAAAAATAGGTGAGGGATATGACATGATATTTTATTGTAAAAAGTAAATGGGACCCTATATACATTCATTTTGAAGTAGGCAACATTGCATTGTTGGGGGGAGTATGCATATTTTGCCTATTGAGATAACTACTCCATTGGAGGAGGAAAATGCTGATGTGGTTTGCCTACTCTTTTGCAAACTCCCTTGGAGATGCAATTGGATGGTAATGTCTATCTTATAATGAAATAAACTACAAGCATACAACTAGGCATTGGAGAAGTTAAAGAAATTTAAACATTAAAATAATTTGGATTATAGAAATGTAATACAACTAATAAACTACAAGCATACAACTAGGCATTGGAGAAGTTAAAGAAATTTAAACATTAAAATAATTTGGATTATAGAAATGTAAAAATGATTTTCAGCCATTTTACCCCCTAAGCTATCACCCTAATCGGACTTAACCCTCCAAACAAAATTTTCAGCCAATTTAGCACTCAGACTTACATAAATAATCAATTTAACCCTCACTGTCAAATTTTTGAATTTCATCTACTTTTCTGTCCAAAGAGTCACATACTTGACACATGACTTACTATTTTTGTTGATGCTTGGTTTTCGCACCACAAATTCAGAGTGCGTCCAAGCCCTTTTAACTCACCATTCCTCAAAATGGTCCTCTTGGATTTGAAGAACTCACTTATACAAAATTTTCTTTCTTTTTGCTTTGGGAGCAGCATAAGGCTATGGGTGATGGACTTTGATCTCATGAAAGAAAGATTGAAAGGATCACTACAGGTGGTGGTGGGGCCACTAACCACCCTCTGATGCCTAAGTAAGATATTTCACCAAAGAGGGATCGAAAAGTACTGTACTGAAGTATGAAGGGATTTCAAGTTACCATTTTAGGTGAAAAGTACTCCTTTTTATATTGGGAAGGGGAGTCCTCATTTTTGTTCTCTTCTGATGTGGGACTATTAGGCCTCGGATGATGTGGCGTCTTCGGATTGGGCACTTGATGGGATCTTAGCATATGGTTACTCTCTCTTAGGGATCAACACACCTCTTAGGATCAAGTGTTTAGAGATGTAGAGCATGGTTTGATGCTTGGGGCCTTGGTATATGGTCGTCACATAGGCTTGGGTGGCCTCCATCTATCTCAATCGGGCCTGGGTGGCTTTAGGGAAGGTCGGTTTTGGGCTACATAGAGGGATCCAGTTGCTTCCTCAGGCGAGCTAGACCTACACCTGGCTTGGGCTCTTGCGAGTAGGCCCTACCCTAAAGACATTTTGGGTACAAAAGTTTTGATTTATTTTTAATAAATTATTAAAAACTAAATATTTGGACAATTAAAAAAAGGAAAATGCTAGATGCACCAACTTTGGGCACCAACTCTCTAATAGAGCGTGGGACCCGTTGTATTGGCGGGCTCCACCTCTATTAGAGAGTTGGTGCCTCTAGCACCACTCTTAAAAAAATACCGAAAAATATCTCTACCCAAGGCCAGCCCTAGGCATGGCCTCGAGGGCGATGGCCTAGGGCTTTGGATCAAGGGGCCCAAATTTTTTAAGATTTGTATATATTTTATATAATTGTTTAGGCACATATTAAAAGTAATTTTTGGAGAGTTCAAAATTATAAGGGCCCAAATAAAAACCACTTCAAATCTTTAACAATATAAAGGCCCATATTTAAAAATTATTAATTGGCTTTGGAACAAGAAAAATGCAATTAATCAAACACATTTTTCAAGAAAATGTTAAATTCTTGTAGTTTGATGATTTTTTTTTTTTTGTCAACCATATAATAGTTTGCATTTGTTATTTTAGTTCAATTAAACTACTATATTTAAGCCAAAAAGAAAATACATGTGTAGAATTTTTTGTTCTTATTAAACTATGATTACATGCAAGAGAAATTAAGCGCCACATTTTAATTTTTGGTCATGAGCCACTCAAAAATCAGGACCGGTCCTATCCCTACCCAGCTCAACCCATTCCTCATTCCCAACCACCACCCCCTACCTACCCACCCCCCATCACCCATCTCTCTCTCTCTAAATGGTCCATGACTGCTCTATCAAATTTACCTTATATGAAGAAACATTTCTTTCATTTCGAATCCCGCCTGAGCATAACTATTCAACACATATAGAAAAACCAACATCACCAAATAAGCAAAATCAACCATAACACAACCCAAATCGTCTGTTTGGCTGCTCAAATAGTGGGCACAGCTGGAAAGCAGACAAGAAAGAACTCACACTACGGTTTTCTCTCACACACAACCATAGTGTTATGGGGATTTGAACTTTAGACCATTGGTTTGCAAGTTGCCTTTTTCCACTGAACTAGACCCCTTGGCAAATTTTTCAAATAGTTCACACACAATTAATTTATTCCTTTTTCACTAATAAAGTTCTGGATGCAAATTCTATTCACTTTTCTACTACTTTCTTTCTTGTCATGTTTGAAAGAATGAAAGAATGAAAGAAAAATTATTTCTTTCTGAAATCCAACTTAGATGTGCTTTTTTCTCCTACAGCTCCATTCAAACTTGAGTTTTTCGTTTTTATTTTTCCTTTTGTCTAAGAAAAAGACGCACTCAAACTTGAGTACCTACCTTCTTTTCTTTTAATTTTTCCTTTTCCCACTAGGATTAAGTCGCAAACCGTTGGATTGTGCTTGCATTCAAACTGATTTGATGTTAATTGTACACTTCATCATCATGCCCCCCACAACCATTATGTCTTCTTGGGTGCAAAATTACTTCGTCCTTCTCTCAGTGGAAAGTTCGGCAATTCTCTTTTTGATTCTTAAGTTGAGCAAGCATGGCTGAAACTCTTCTCTAATATCTGTAGTGGAGTATAATTAAGTTTAATCAATATGATTTTAAAGCGTAAAGAGGGGCCATTGTGTTGCCATATTCAAAGTGCGTTAATAATAAATTTGGAGAAATTATAGAATAGTACTGGAGTATGGTCACATAATATAGTTTGTACACGTGTTATAATATGTGTGGACGATATAATACATTTCTCCCTTTCAGGGTATAGCATCAATAAATATTCATTTATATTATAACATGTGAACAAGTTATACCACTTTCTCCCAAAAAAACACTCTAGAGCTGTTTTCACTTTGACCGGGGAGGAAACATCTGTTCTTCCTCCCCTCTCCTCTCCTCTCTTCCTCCCCACTACCCTTCTCCCTTTTTTTTTTTTTTTTTTTTTTTTTTT